GCGCCTGCCCGTCCTTCCAGGCCTGCCCTTGACCCTTTGGTCTTGCTTCCCTCTTGCCTCTCAGGCCCAGTGGGAAAGGTTACTTGTGCGTGCGGCCAACCATCCTGGGGGGGCTGTTTCGGTCTCGCTGGCTGGGACCATGCACCCAGACGTTTGGTGAACCCGGGGAGGCCGCACCCGGAGCTGTGACGTGTTCATTTGGGGTCGTCTTTGCAGGCACAGCTCTGTCCACGCAGGAAAGACGAGGTGCCAAAGCCTCAGTGCAGGACTTGGAAAAATTCTTAAAAACTCTTTGTGATGAATGTTAAGGTGTAGGGTGCACTGTTTGCAGGGTGGGGGGCCGACAGCCCCTGGGGCGTGCGAGGGCCTGCTCAGCACGCCCGTCCGGCAGCTCTCTTGACCTCGGCTGGCCCACGCTCCGTGTCCGGGGCCACGCATCACAAGGGCCGCCGCGGCGGGAGGCCCCGCCCACCCGCGGAAACCACTGCAGACCGTTAGGCCTGGCTGGAAAGTGTGGTCGGTCACCTGGCACGCATGGGACGCACTCAGAGGACGTCAGTGCGTCGTCCAGGCTGCCAAGGGTGTGACTGACCCTTGCTGCCTGTTGTATTTGGAGTTGGGGGCTGGGAGAGGGACCCTGTCTGCATCGTCTGCTGGTCCTGGACCCTCCTGTCGCAGGGACCCCACTCCCAGTGACCCAAATCTGTTCTTCCCAGTACCGCAAGCCTTTCAGAGGCTCCTCATCGCCGTCGGTTGAAGGCCGTGCTCTGAACCTGGCCTTCGAGGTCCCGTGGGCTCAGCCATGTTGCAGGCATGCTTGGCCTCTCTCAGCTCTTCAGACACTGTCTTCCCCCCGGGCCCTGCCTCAGGCCGTCCCTCTACTGGGCGGGTTGTCTCTCCTGGGGAGTCCCGGCCTTGCTCTGCCCCCCACCCTGAGCTGCTCCACAGCCGTCCTACCGCTGGTGCTCGTTATGTTTCTCTGCGTCCTGGCCTGGGGGCCCCACCTCCCACGTGTGTCCCTGTGTGTCCCCAGCACTTCGTGCAGCACCGGGCGCGTGCTGGGTGGCCCAGCGTACACAGGGAGGGCCTGACAAGGGAAGGGCCCTGCACCTGCCGTGCCCCGTGGGAGCGGCCCGCAGTGCCCATCTGCACTTGTGCCGTGCGGTCCCTGCCCAGAAACCCACAGCAGATAGTAGGCTCTTACACATAAATGCGTGCTGCTTGGAAGCACATGAGACCCAGACAGAAATATCATAGGATGTCAGTGTTCATCTGGTAAGATAGTGTTTTCTCTGCTGGTGCCTGGACGGCATGCTCGGCACGACCCTCAGGATTGATGTTGGGAGTCCTTGACCTTGTGGCCTGCCGGGATCGCCGCCCACACTTGAGAAGCACGCTCTGGAGGACCGCCCCGGCCGTGCAGCCTGGCATCGTCCTAATCACCTGTGTGCCCTCCCGTGCCCTCCACGCAGGATGGGGCTGAGGGTGCCCGCAGACCACAGCTGGCCGCTCGCTGCCATCGGGGGTGGGCGGCGGGTGGGGCCTCACGTTGCCGTTGAGGGCGGAGCCAGTGGTCACTGCCCCCCCACCCCGGGTGCACGGAGATGTGGAGGGGGAGGCTCTGCAGGACGGCGGGTTTTGACTTAGGTCTTGAAGCGCATGCGAGGCGGTGGCCGTGAGAACAGGGTTTCCCGAGTCCCCAGGTCCGTGTGCCAGGAGCCCAGGCACTGAGCGGAGGTGGAGCAGGGGCAGGGGCCCGGGGTGGGGGCCCAGGGTGGGGCCTGGATGCGGGGTGTGTCTGTCGGGCGTGGGGCACCACCCCGGCCGCCCCTGCCTGGAGCTTCACCGCTGAGAGGATTTCCACTCCGATGGGGTTTTTGAGGTGGGACACGCTGTCGTAGATGTTGCTGTACGTGTCTCGAAGCGGAAGGACGGTGCACGCGTTTGTCCACGTGCGGTGGACGGGCAGTGGCAGAGGGCCTTTGTGACCACGTTCCCACGTCATTCTAGCGGCGGTGAAACCGCTGTAACCGTAGACATGAGGTTCCAGACTTGCGTGCCGGCCGGGGCTTATGCAGGGACGAGGAAGGGTCTCCCGCGGCCACGGGGCTCCGTTTGCTCCGGCTGCTACAGCAAATTACCCCAAACGAGAGCCTGAAAGCCGCACAAATTCATTCTCCCACACTTGGAGCCAGAAGTCCAAAATCAGTGCTTGGGGCTACGGTCCGGGTGTTGGCCGGCTGGTCGCTCCCGGAGCCCCGGGGGGCCCATGTGGCCACCTCCCGCTCCCGGGGGCTGTGGCGGCCCCAGGACTGTTGGCACGGCTCCCCGTCTCATCTACAGGCCCCTTCCGGTTATTTCTGCTTTTTTTCACTTCCGAGAATGTTTCCTGATGGGCTTGTCTATCCCAAGAACTGATCTGTTATCGGGGGTGGGGCGCCTCCCCTCTGTTGGGGACGTGGCCTGTGTCTGTCGGACACGTTGGGCATTGTAGATGTAGGTGGAGAAATTGACCTGAAATATGTACATTTGGGAACAGCTGTTGTGAATTACATCGATTGCAGGTGTTCACAGACAGTTGGGGCTGAGCACACAGCCCTCCAGGTGCTGGCGGCCGCCTGGGGGCCTCTCACTGTCCATTTCGGTCCCTTACTGAACCAAAGGGCAGTGCCTGGGGGACACAGAAGGCCGGCTCACAGTGGGGTCTTGGGAGAGCGAGCTCTGTCCGAGAAGGGCCCCAGGTCTCCGCCGGGAGGCCCCGTTTACGCGGCCGTGAGCTCAGTGGTGTGCGCAGGCCGGGTGCCCGGGTGCTGCTGGAGCGGGCAGGATGCACAGTTTGAGGAGGGCGTGCTCCGCGGCTTCCCTGACGCAGTCACAGGAGATCTGAGCCAGGGACAGGCTCTCTGGTGCTTCGGCTTACAGAGCTTGTGCTCCGAGCCTGGTCCTGTTTCCTCCTCACCCGGGACTTGGCGGGGGGTGCCTCCCTGCAGAGCAGAGGGCGAGCTCGGTTGTGCACGCAGCCTTGCCACGGAGCAGAAACGGGGAATGTCCTGAGTTGTGCAAAGAGCCGTTCTGTTCCGGCAGCGTCCACGGCCGTCCTTCCCGCCCTGCGGCTCCTTCCTGCACTCACCCCGTTAAGAACCTGGGCCGAGGGCTGTTAACCGCTCCAGGCCGTGGTGCCGCGCGTGAGGGACGGCCACTGAAGCCGCCGTGGGTGCCGTGTGCCCGCGCGCAGTCACCTCACGAGCCAGCGTGTCAAAGAAGGGAGCGAAGTGCGTTGGGCGTGTGTGGGCGCGTCCGTAGTCTTCCTGCACAGCCGTGTAACCCTTGGAAAACGTCCTTGCTGGGTGACAGCAGGCATCGGCGAGGACACGCTAGCCGCCGGGGCCAGAGCCTTAGGGGACAAGCAGCACGTGGATGGTGCTGGCCCCCTCGTGGTCCCGAGAAAAGGCACTGAGAGAGCACACGTGGTGGTTGTAAGTGCCGGGCCCCGGGGACTCACGCTGCCGCGGAAGGCTGAGCACGCCTGTCGGGATGCAGCGGCGGGAACGTCGGGATTGCTGGTTTCCCTGCGGTCTTCGGTCTGAGTGCTTCAGTACGGTTCGAACCAGGCAAAACCCATCTGCTTGGCAAACACACCAGCGTTGAGAAACGACCGTTGTCCGTGAGGCTGTGGTCGGTCTGCCTCCCACGGACCTGCGCCCCGCTCCGTCCTCCGCTCCGCATCCACCTCAGGGAACCCCACACAACGCACGTTTCTCCCCGCTCTTCATTTCAACCACGTCCCCAAGGTGTAATTTACCTGCAGGAAACTCACGCGTGTTCCGTGCACAGGCTGATGAACGTCCGAAGCCGAACGTGGTCATATAAACGCCTCTGTAACCGAGACACCGGGCGTTCCCGTCCCCCCGCGGCCAACTGCTCCCCTTGCCCCGGCCGCCACTGGCCCGCCCTCTGTGGCTGTCGCTTTGTGAACGTGGCCGTGCTGTGTGTGGTCCTTCATGGTTGTCTCCTAGAGAACCATCATCTTCGTGGCCCCTCTGGGCTGACGAGTGTTTCATGGTTCTTTCCCTTTGCTGAATAGCGTGCAGTGTGCGTGGACGTGTCCCAGCTGGGCCACCCACTCCCACTCAGGGGACACGTTTGTGGCTGTGAGGAGTCAGGCAGCTGTGACTGTCCACGTGCAGGCCCCGCGTGCACACGCGTGTTCTCATTCCTGCGGGGGAACCCCGGGCTGTGCAGGCTCAGCTGTGTGGGCCGCCGCGCGGTCTGTGCGTCCTGGTTCCTCCCGCAGCCTGCATGCCCGCCTCCTCACCCTGCCCTTCACAGAGGCGGCGGGCCCCTGCGTCCGGCGTTCTTAGTCTTGCACAGCGTGCATGCACGGCCTCGGTGACCACTGTTCCCACAAAGGTTCGAAACACTGTCGCGTTGCACACATCACTGTCCCATTTTCTTTCTTCGTTCAGCGGCGGACGCGGAGCAGGGGACGGAGCAGGGCGCAGTCCGTCGCACAGAGGCTGTGGCTGGTGTGTTCACGGGGCAGGACTGTGTCTCGGGCTCAGTGCCTCCCGTGCTGGAGTGCTGGCCGGCACACGGTGGGCTCTGGTGACGTGTGAATGGACAGATTCCCTTACATGGCGCCGTGGTGCTTGATCGGTCACATCTGTTCCCCCGTTGACGGCTGTTCGGCCGCCACGTGCACCTGGGTCCCACGTGAACGGCACAGTGGTGGGCACCCTCCTCCATGTCTTGTGCCCACACCCGGGAGTTCGTTTGGGACACTCAGGGTCTTGGGGTGGGGCCCGCTTCACCTGAACTGGTGTTGCCGATGGCCCCCCGTGTGCTCCCGCCCGCAGCGCGAACCAGCGTCCCTCTCCACTCCCTCCCTGACGTTCGACATTCGATGTTACCGTGTCTGTTAATTTTTGCTAGTCCTGTGTATATGAAGTTACGTTTTATTTTACAGCATCTTAAATAACTCGTCTCGTTTCTCCTAACAGAAATTCAATGTCATCTTTCCGTCCTGGGAGAGGACATGGCGACAGTCGGAAGAGTGTGTTTTATACCAACGAAGAGTGGGAGCTCTTAGACCCAAACCCTAAGGACCTGGAGGAGTCCATGGCGCAGGAGGAGAGGAAGAAGCCGGCCCCCGAAGGAAACAAAGGTACGGATGTGGTTCCTGCCACCATCCTGCTCTGCGCGGCCCCCGCGGTACCAGGCTTTTTCTGGAAGCAGGAGGCGTGGGGGATGAACCCAGAGGGCGTGTGAGATGAGGCGTTACAAGAAACGACCGTCCAGCCCGTGACTCATAAGCTTTTTCGGGAGATAGAGCATCTAGAAGTCACAGTGCTGTTCACAGACATATAGATTTTTAAAAAACCCTTCTATTTACAGAAATCTGGAACGTAACGTAAAGTAGAACGTACAGGGTCATGGATCCTGGTGTAGCCTCAAGTGGCTCCCACGGTTTCAAACTTAGGGCCACTCTCTTCCTCCAAGCCTCCATCCCTTCCTGCGTTCCATGTCGGTGGGGTTGTTTTAAAGTAGATTCTAGACATCGATCCATTACATCTGAATTTTTTATTTCGTACGTATCTCTAGGAGATAACGACTCACGTTAAAACCTCATGGCGGCTTCGTTATTCTACCTAGAAACAGCGGCAATAAATCTAATAATCGAAGTTCCCTCTGGTTCCATAGCTGTGTGCTCACGCGCCGCTCACGTGAGCGCTGATAAGGTCTGCAGGCAGGTTTCCTTGCTGATCTGCATTGGCCTCTTTGCCTCTGAAAAGCTCCCCGTCCCTGTCTTCCCTTCTACTGGGCGTGACTGTGGCCAAGACGGTCTCTGCGCCAAGGATTTCCCACGCTCTGGAGTCCGGGTCCCTTCTTGCTCCTCGTGTGCCCCGTATGTGGTCGCGGGCCGAGGCCTGCCCGGATGCAGGGCTGACTTAACCAGACGAGGACGCTCGGTGGTCGGGGCCTGGGGCTGTGCGCCCTCTGGCACCACGGCTGGAACACGTCGTGTCTGGTCCCCGCTGGTTTTGGGGAGGATCAGGGTTCAGGTGTCGTCAGCCTGACCCCGTCTGTATGGCCACTCCTGATGCTCATCTGGGGATCCACGAGGGAATATTGATGTTTTAATGTAAAAGGACAGTAATTTTGAAATTCTGCCTTGTGCTCGATTTGAGCACGGGCTGGTAGGAGGAGGCAGGATCGTAGGAAATCTATCAGGAGGGCAAGTATTTACTAAAGGAAGTACTTCTGTCCCCCGGGAGGAGGGCCTTGACTGGCTCTGCAGGGGAGCTTGCCTGCGTTCTCAGGGCTGTAGCGTGGGGCCCGCAGTCCCATGTGACGTGGGTCTGGTGTGCTGCACTCCCCAGTGAGGGCCCGCGGGAGCGCCTCCTGAGCAAGGGGCACTTGGGTTCTGGAGGAGGAACTGCGAGCTCGGTCAGGAAGGAAGGGTCTGCGAGGCTGAGCGGCTCGCGTGGGCCGGAAACTCCCTGGGCCAGACGACGCAGCCCCCCATGGGGTCTGCGCACTCTGGTGGCGTGGGGTCGTGGACCCTTCCTGTACCAGCCGCGAGCGTCAGCCCCCAGCTTGTCCCCGTCACGCAGGGGGCGCAAACTGCTCTCCCTTCTCTCTGTTCCCCTGCGTTTAAGTGCACAAAGTCCCCCCCACATCCATCAGAAATGTGAAGGCGACGGGTTTTCACAGTGAACATAGCCACGTAGGCAGCACTTACTTCAAGAAACAGGACGGGGCCAGCCCTGTCCCCCGGCCCCGCCAGTCACCCACCCCTCCCAGGGCAGCCACTGTCCCCACTTAAGAGCTGGGAGTCACCTGTTCTCCAGCTTCATGGAATCCATATACTGTGTTCTAGTTCCCGTTGCCTCCTCGTAGTTTGAGTATAAATCTGAATCCATCCGTATTAACATTTATTTGGACCCATCAGTATTTTAAAGGCCCATTTTTTTTTTTTAAAAAAAGATTTTATTTATTTATTTGACAGAGAGAGACACAGTGAGAGAGGGAACACCAGCAGAGGGAGGGGGAGAGGGAGAAGCAGGCTCCCCGCAGAGCAGGGAGCCCGACGTGGGACTCGATCCCGGGACCCTGGGATCATGACCTGAGCCGAAGGCAGTCGCCTAACCAACTGAGCCACCCAGGCGCCCCTTAAAGGCCCATTTTTAAGGAAGAGAACGTAGTCATGCTTTGAAACACTTGTTCACAGTGAAGAAGACGTACGTTTAGGGCAGGGCTTTGTTTTGTTTTCTTACTGAGAACAGATGAGCGAAGGGAGCCAAGGATCCCTGTGTCTGTGAGTCCCGCCCGGGAGCCTGCTGTCTGACTGCAGGCAGCGCCCCGGGGAAGAGGCTCCGTGTTTCTGGGACGTTGTGGGCACTTGGAACCACTGTGCTCTTCCTCAGCCTGTGTCTCTGTCCCCTTTGGTCCTGAAAGTGACCGAAATGGGAAATTGGGGAAGAGACCTCAGCTTCTGGAAAAAAGACGGCATCCCAGACGAGTCTTGAGCGAGGTGTCCTGCGGCCTTGTCCTAAATTCCTCATCTGTTCCAGTGCACTCCGCCCATTTTCCCCGCATCCTAAGGCAGACGTTGAGCAATCACAGCCTGAACGTTTTCTTGAAAAGGGACCACGTGACGAGTCTCATAAGGAAGGATCCAGGGCGGGGGGATCATCTTTGAGTCGGGCTCGGTTTTCGTCAAGAGCGAGCCAGGGCCCGGAGGCGTCCCCACTCCTGCCCATGCTCTCTGCGCAGTGAACGCAGAACTTCCCCGAGGATGGCGGGTGGGAGTTTCCAGAAGGATGACTCGTCCTGCACTTAGAAAACAAGTTTTGTTTTTATGTAGGAGTAACTGGCTCAGGATTTCCCTTTGATTTTGGACGTATTCCCTACAAAGGAAAGCGCCCTTTGAAAGACATGATCGGATCGTACAGAAACCGCCACGTCAGCGGTGACCCTTCGGCGGAGGGGGCACAGAGTGCTGGTGCCGTCAGCAGGCCCACGTCCGAGATGCAGCTGCAGGTCCAGAGCCAGCAGGAAGAGCTGGACCGGCTGAAGAAAGACCTGTCCAGCCAGAAGGTAACCGTCCTTCTCACCCACGTGCGACCCCCCGCAGCCAGCCGGCCGCGAGAGCACAGCCCGGGCCCCTGGGTGTCTTCGTCCCCAGAGGGCTTTTCCCCAAAGTGTTGATGGAGGCGCCTGCGCCCCACTAGGTCACTTCTTCAGGGACGTCTGGATCTCCAGGGGGCGTGGGGACGCCGCCGGTGGGTCAGGGGAGGGTCTCGGCCACTGTGCCCACTCCCACCCCAGTGCGGCATCGGCCGAGTCCATGAACAGGAGGAAAGGAGTTCCCACGTGGTGTCCGTTTCCCTGTGAGACTGAGGACGCCCCGTCGTTGGGCAGGTCAGAGCTGACCTTGGGGCTCCTGTTCTGCGCACGGATGTGCGTGTGATGGGGCCGCGGTGGACCGCACCGTGCGCATCCACGGTTTCCTCCTTCCTAGCATTGTTCTCTGCAGACAGGCTTGACGGAGTGCATGTTTCTTCCTCTCGCCTCCGAGACCCTGCAGGAAGAAGTCGGTGTGCACGTGTCTCGGCCCCGCGCCGCCCCGTGTCATGTTGTCACCGTCTCTGCTTCTCTCCTCCCGCCTCCCCTGTGGCAGGAGTTGGTACGGTTACTGCAACACACGGTCCGGTCCTCCCAGTACGACAAGTACTTCGCCAGCAGCCGGCTGTCTGCGGGCATCCCGAAGGACACGCTTGACCTTCTGCACCGCAAGGACGACCAGATCCTGGGCCTCAGCAGCCAGCTGGAGCGGCTCTCCCTGGAGCGAGAGAGTCTGCAGCAGGAAGCCAGGACGCTCAAGAGCAAGGTGGGCGAGCTCAGCGAGCAGCTGGGGATGCTGGTGGAGACCATCCAGGCCAAGGACGAGGTCATCATGAAGCTCTCGCGCCAGCTCAGCGAGGGCACGGACCACACACCCTCTGCCGCAGGGGTGCCCGGCTCCCCCACGCCCCCCAGCAGGGAGCACCTAGAGCTGGACAGGCTGAAAGTAAGTGGGGCGTGGGCTTGGCGGGGTTCAGACAGCGTTGCAGGCGGCCCCTCGATGTGTCCAGGGCTCCGGGCCTCGGCAGACGGAGCAGATGTAGCAGGACTTGAGGCAAACTATGGGTAGTTCGCTAAGAAGCGTCCTTGGAAAACAAGTGTTGAGTCCAGCAGTGCTGTTGGTCAGAGTGGTTCTGGAACTTCCCCTCCCTTCGGGAGGACTGCCTGCCTGGACTGCCTGCCCAGTCAGGCAGCTGAGACTCCCCTTTCTGCTCTGCACCCCTAGAGCTTTGTTACCCCACGTAGCCCGGGGGGCCCTGTTTGCCCCCATGCATGAGTGTCCGGGCCAGCACCGCACTCGTGGCCTGCCTCAGCCCCCTGGGGGTAGGGGGAGCTGAGGGAGCATCGTTCCCAACGGCTGGTTTGGGGTTGGCTCCCAGGCAGGCTTGCTCAGAGTCGGGGCCCCTGCACCCAGGCTGGGAGGGTCCTGGCGCTGAGGACAGGGGGGCTGCTTTCTGACCTCATGACTGTCCGGGTTGTAACTGAGGTGGGGAAGGGCCGTGCCGCTGGCCATGAGGCCGCAGAGAGGCGCTGAGTGTGGCCCAGCCCACCCCAGGCAGGTCTGTAGCCCCAGGCCCCACCCAGCCCTAACATGCTCCTCGCCTGGCTACCCTCTTTGCGTAAATACCTCGGCACCAGGGGTGTTTGGCTCCCAAGGGCAGGTTATCCTTGAAGGCAAAGATTTGCCACGTTGAGATTATTAGTAAGCACCAACTGCATGCCCAGCAGTACCTCTCCGGCTTGTCAGTGGAGAACTGAGTAGGGGGGAGGGGGGCCTCAGAATTTTGAACAGAAGTGAACACTGGGCTGACGGCAGCATCGTCGGGAGGTGTACGTGGCCTCCGTAGTCTACGACCAGTTCTCAGTGACAGGTGTGCACGTGTGAGTCCAGAAGGGTGACAGCAACAAAGTTCCCCACCCCATTCCTCTGTGATTCGACCACAAACACAGCGGTGGTTGCACAAACCGTCGTGGTCGGTGTGGCTGGTAAGACTCAGCTCTGCTCGCATTCGCAGTCGAGCACACGCCCGACCTGGACGTCACCGCGTCGGCGATGCGCGTTTGACCGCGGCTTACTTAACGTCAACCGAAACTGATATTTGGCGAGCATGCCTGTTTTGCGGTGTTTGTTTGCAGGCCTCGTGAGCGAGCTTGGCGGGGACGCGCGGGAGCTGAACCAGGGTGTGTGCGGGAGCGAGCGGCTTGTCTCTGGTCCACGCAGCTCCCTGTGGAGACAGCAGATAGACTCGATCAGGATTAGACTTCCCCTCCTTATTTACCCTATAGATCTTGTGGCAAGACGGGTAGGATGGTTTTGAATCATTTGGTGATTTCATGACTTTTTTCCTCCAAATTTCTCAACAGTTTTTAAGGTCTGTGGCTCTGAAATCCCCCTGTGGTCAGGTGACGTGGGACAGAGCTCGTGGAGGTGGTGGCTGTTCAGGGGCCGGCGCGTGGCTGTGGGCTCCAAGTGGGCCGACCGGCCGCCCCGAGGTTTCTGCCGCCGCCTGCACCAGACGCCCGCTCCCACCACAGGCTCCCGCGGCGGCTCCGCAGGAATTGAAAGCAGGCTTGCGGGCGGGGGGCTGCAGACGGAAGTGGGGTTTTGCCGCGTGTGTCCTTGCTGCCCCCCACTTCTCGCAGCTGCACGGTTTCCATACTGATTTCTTGCCTTGACCCTGAATTCAGAACACCCCCGCGGGGGGACACTGTGTTACTGGGGGGGGGGTCTCGTCCGTCACTGTCACAACCCACTTTCTCCGACTCTGGTCAGCGTGTGTGGCCTGTTTGGAATTTGCTGACACTTCTCGTTGGCTCCGGGACAGGGTCACTTTCTGTTTCTGGGGTATTTTGAGGAAGGAACACACATTGGTTGTAGGATTTTACCAGCGTAAGTACTTTACTGTTTTTGTACTTCCTTCCTGGCCTTCCCGTGGCTCTGTGATTCTTCCTTGCTTGGCGTAGGTGGCCCTCTGCTTCACTGGGCACGGTCGGGGCTGTCATCGGGGCGCTGTCCCCACCTACCTGTGCAGCTGGTCTTCCTGAGACTTGCTCTCTGGCGCGGGCCTCCACGCCGGCAGCTTTTCCTCGTCTGGACTCTGGGTGCGCTCAGCCGCGTGCCAGGCTTTGCGCTGTGCTGGGAGCGCAAGGCCTCTCCGGGAGTGCCCGGCGTAGTTAGCACGAAACACCCGGTCATGACCATAGGGAGCACGGAGAGGAGCTCAGGCCCACCCGGCTTGGCTGCTCGCGAACCCCACCTGGGGGTCGGGACCCTTCCTGCCCCAGTGTGTTCATGTGTGAACCAGCCCTCCCCTTGCGGGTCTTGCGGGGTCTGGTGGGGGTCTCACGGGGTCTGGC